TAGGAGCCCTCTCCTTTTTTTGGTCTCCTTTATAGATACCAGAGTTTCTATTGTTGCAAGTATATCCATTTGTTACTTCTGTTTGGTCACAAAAATCACTGTTTGCACCAATCATTTATATTAATACACCTAGTATGCACCTAGGTCTGTAACACGGATGCATATTGTTTCTCTATAGATGTTCTATTTTTAAAGACACCCATAGTGAGTGTTATATTTATTGTTGCGCACCATCACTATTTTATGTATCGATGAATGGAATAGCCTTCCAGGTGGTAGAGGTTAACACAGTGAAGGAGTTTAAGCATGCGCGGATAGGCATAAGGCTATCCTACACTTAAGATAAGGCCAGGGACTAATGAAAGTATTTAGAAAATTGGGCAGACTAGATGGGCCGAATGGTTCTTATCTTCCATCACATTCTATGTTTCTATGTTTCTATGACTCTGGTACCCTTAAACGAAACTAGCAGTCCTCAAGCTCTGCATGAGGACTTCCAACATCAGTGAAATCCCCCAAAGCCTTAATTCCCTTAGTTGGATGACATTGTGCTAGAGGGAGCACCGACCCATCGCAGAGGGTTTTTAAAGGGTTTTTAGCTTATTATGTGCTACAAGGAGGGTGCCTACAGTGTTAGTAATACAACTTTGTATTCTATGGTCTTTGAGGCCAGGAAAGGAAGTATGTTCTTCTCTGTCTCACATCCTCTCACTATTTTGCTATGCAGTCATTTTGTCTTTGAGGTGCAGTATAAGAGAAGTTTTCCTTTGTTTTATTAATTAGTTTGTTTAAGCGAACCACTGAATGTATTAAAGGACTAAATTTTGCTGGTAAAATTTGATTGCAAGCCCTCTATGATCTTTGTGGTGCTGGAAAGGAAGTATGTTATATACTAGGAAGATGATGTTTTTGCTCTTTACCTGTTAACCAATTCTCAGTATACACATTATCCTATGAGTCACTTACTGTATGCTGATAGTGATTGAAAGTAAGGGGAACTAGTAATATTTTATTTAGCTTTTTATATTAAAAAAAATGTATGACTGAAATGCAATGCAATTTAAAGTAACAACAAGTCATGTTCGGCATAACAGGTGCACTTTAAAAGCAATTCTGAAAATAGTATTTTCAAAAGTGTCCCAGAAGGCAATGCAAACTGTGCAAATAAATGCAGACAATGATAAACGTTTTAAGATTTTCAAACCATACATCTCTAGGCTGCCCTTGTACTGGTCTATGCTTTTTTAGCACAGGAGTTAATTGCAATCTATTTATTGATAATAGTCTACATGTTAACAGCTGTTGATGATGTCAAAACAATCTCACAATCCCTTTTTGACAAAACTTACATCGATATCATGTCAATTAAAAAAATGTCCTGTACCTTAAACAGTCAAGCTTAGATATACACAACAAGCACCATAACCCTATGTATTATGTTACTAGATTAAAATGAATAATTTGGTATATAGCAGATATATGATATGCATTGTAAGTATATACATAAAAGCACTATAACTATAATTGTTTAGTTTTGACACTGCATTTTTTTTTACTTGTGTTTTTTTTATTGCATTAATTTTGCATTATATATATTCACAATTAGTGATGTACCGAACGGTTCGCCGGCGAACGGTTCCTGGCGAACATAGCCTGTTCGCGTTCGCCACGGCGGGCGAACATATGCGCGGTTCGACCCGCCCCCTATTCGTCATCATTGAGTAAACTTTGACCCTGTACCTCACAGTCAGCAGACACATTCCAGTCAATTAGCAGCACACCCTCCCTAGCAGACCCTTCCACCTCCTGGAAGGCATCCATTTTAGATTCATTCTCAAGCTGCATGCTTAGTGAGAGGAGGGAAAGTGTAGCTGCTGTTCATTAGATAGGGAAAAGCATAGCTAGGTTAGGGTTAGGGTATGCTTTTTTTAAATTTATTTTTCTATGTAATGTAATTGCGGTTAGTTGTCTGCCACTGCTGCCAGCTTCTGTGTCAGGCTCACAGTGGATACTGTGCCCATTTCCCCAGTCAGTGCCACCACTTATATCTGGTGTCACAATAGCTTGCATTTAAAACAAAAAACTTTTTTCACTGTTATAGATTGAATAGCAGTCAGTGTCCTTAAAGCGGGTGTGTTACGCTAACAGTGGATACGGTG